TTAGCATCCTGTGTCCAGCTGGCCCAAGTGCTGTTTTCTGAAGTGGCCTTTCCGCATTTCTCCCGAGTAGTCCACGTATTGGACAATAGCCTTAGCCTGGGCTTCTCCCAGTATCAGGTGCTGTCTGGTAATGTCTGGGAGGGAGAGGCAGCAGCATCTCTGTGAGTTGGAGACCAGCCTGGTCTACAGAGTGAGTTCCAGGACAGCCAGGGCTACACAGAGAAACTCTGTCTCAAAACAAACAAACAAACACACTGGGCAGTAGTAGCACATGCCTTTAATTCCAGCACTTGGGAGGCAGAGTCAGGTGGATCTCTGTGAGTTCGAGGCCAGTCCTGGTCTACAAGAGCTAGTTCCAGGACAGCTAGGACTGTTACACAGAGAAACCCTGTCTCAAAAACAAAACAAAACAAAACAAAAGAAAATCCACATACACAACACACACAGAGATACACGCTGACACAGGTATGGAAGGAAGGAAGGAAGGAAGGAAGGAAGGAAGGAAGGAAGGAAGGAAGGAAGGACGGACGAACCTTCTGCCCTCTTGTGATAGCCGCCCTGGGTGGGGTGGGGTTTTTGGTGCTGTCCTGAGGGGAACTGTTAGCATCATTTACAGATGTTTCGGGGTGTGGACTCTCACACACTTTCCCAGTGTTGTTTGCTGTTTTTCCTGTTGCTCTAATCAAATGCCCTAAAAAACAAAAGCAAAAAACAACTTAGAAGAAGAAGGTTTATCCTGGCTCCTGGCTTGAGGGCACAGTCCGTCATGGTAGGGAAAGGCACGGTGACAGGCGCGTGCGGTGACTAGTCACATGGCATCTGTTGTCAGAAGTCCAACCAGCTTCCTCCTTTTCATTCAGTTTGGGACTGCAGCCTAGAGGATGGTGCCACTTATGGCTAGAAGCATGCTTCCTAGGGAACCATAAATCCAGTCAGGTTGACAGTGAGAATGAGCCACTGTGGGTATGTACGACATAACAGTTGGGTTATAGGCTAAACAGATGCTTGGCTCTAATAGCTAATACCACCTTTCCCATGGCTGTGCCAGTTCACCATCCCACAGATCAGGAGTGTTCTGATTGCTTCAGACCTTGACAGTGCCATTGAACTTGTATTTTGTGCATTGCTGAGGTTGAATACCTTGATGTGTGGGCTTTGGCTACTCAGACATCTTCTTAATGAAGTGTCTATTCAAGTCTTTTGTTCATTTTTCTATAGACATGTTTTCCTTTGTATTGATTTGTGGCTGCTCTTTATATAGGACGGATACAAGTTTTGTTAGACCATGCGTCACAAAATGACTTGTCTCATTTTGTAGCCTTGGAGGTTTTAAGGTGACGTGTCTGAGCTTTCCTCGTCGCACAGCTGATGTTTTTGTCTGTCATTGAATTTGTCCTTTCTCTACGTCAGTTCGCTTCTTAAGAGCAAGGCTGTGTGACTGCTTTCACCTCAGAACTCAAAGCACAGGGTTTGGTGCCAAAAAGGAACAAGCTAAAGATCTGTGGAATAAATACTAGCAAGCTCGGCCCCAAAGGTGATTTCTGGTGGCCGGTGTCTCCCCTCTCTTTCCTGAACCCTAGGCAACAGGTCTGCAGCGTACGGAGACTGAGGCACCTGCCCTCTGCTGAAGATGGCACTCAGCTCCTGAGTCTGTCCTTCATTCCTCTTCCATCTGGAAGCTGGCCCACCTGCACCTGCCCTGAGGGAGGCAGGGCCTCGCAGAGCCGCCATGTTTTAATTAACTTCCCAGCAGTCATTGGCGACACCAGTTTTCATAAACAAACGAGGGGCCAGAGCTTCATCTGTAGCCCAGAGTGAGCTATGTGGACGGAATTTCAAACCAAATCACACAGCAGAGTACCTGCCTAGAACCCAGAGCCTCTGGCCCTTGAGGGAGATTGGAGGCTGAGATTTGACCTGTGAAGGAAGAGGGTGAGGAATGGCCAGCGGCTTAGGGGAAGAACAGAGATCCCCCGGGAGGCTGCTTGTCCTCCCAGACTCACTTGTGACAATCCTAACCTCCAGGGGGGCTGGCAGACAGAGCCTTGAGGTCTTGAGAGCAGGGCCCCTCACAGTGGGGTTTGTGCCCTTCTAGGGAGCAGAGCAGAGTTTCAGGTCTGTATTCTCCAACCCGTGGGGCTTTAAGTGAAGGACAGCATGTGTTAACCAGGGAGGCAGGCCCTCCCCAGCCCTGCTGGGCTGCTGTCTCAATCTGGGCTTCCCCGGGACAGCTGGAAAGAACCAATGATATTTATGCCACCCAGTGTGTGTTACTGTGAAGTGGGAGGTAAAGGCAGGAGGACCAGAAATCAGGAGTGTCCTTGGCTTGGTAGCTTGAGGCCAACCCCTGAGAAAGGGCTGTTTGACTCCCCAAAGGGGTAGAGACCCACAGGTTGAGAACCGCTGCTCTAGACGGTTGTGGGCAATGAATGAGAGCAGGCATAGGAGGAATGGCAGGAGCGTGTCCGTGTGTGAAGAGGAAGGCTTGGGAGATGCTGTGTGTGCCCCGCAGGGCAGGGCCTCCAGTCTCAGAGGACTTCCATTCTAGACAAGCATGGAGATTAAGAAGAAGCCAGTTGTAAGTGTAGAAAACAGCAGAGAATGGTCCATTGTCAAGACAGGACTGCTCACCTAGAGAAAGACAGAAACACTGAGTCCCTGCAGGCGCCCATAATCCATCTATCCCCACGCACCAGAAGTTTAGAGTCAAAATTAGTATTGTATTTCAAGATAGGGTTTCTCTGTGTGACAGTCCTTGCTGTCCTGGAACTTGCTCTGTAGGTCAGGCTGGCCCTGAACTCACAGAGATCCGCCTGCCTCTGCCTCCTGAGTGCTAGGATTAAAGGTGTGTGCCACCACCACCCAGCAAGTCAAATATTATTAGCAGCCAAGTTTACTTAAAAATCCACAGATGTGACAAAGTTCACACGCCTGAAAAGCTTTAAAATAATCAGGGTGTTAAAATCTGAGCTAGGCTGGAGAGATGGCTCAGAGGTTAAGAGCTTTGCCTGCTCTTCCAAAGGTCCTGAGTTCAATTCCCAGCAACCACATGGTGGCTCACAGCCATCTGTAATGGGGTCTGGTGCCCTCTTCTGGCCTTCAGGCATACATATACAGACAGAATATTGTATACATATAAATAAATAAATAAACAAACAAACAAATAAATAAAATCTGAGCTAATCCAGGCACGGTCTCGGTTGAGAAGAGACAAATATGGGACAAGAGGGTTCCGCAGGTGGAAGTGCTTGCTGCCTGTCCTGACGATCCGAGTTCTGTTCTCAGAACTCACGTGACAGGAAAGAAGTGAGTCCCACAGGCTGTCTTCTGTGCTGCCCAGTTTTATGTCACTTGACACAAGCTGGAGTCATCTGAGAGGAGGGAACCTCAGCTGAGAAAACGCCTCGCCTCCATAAGACGGGGCTGTAGACAAGCCCTTATTGCATTTTCTTAATTAGTGATTGGTGGGAAAAGGCCCAGCTCATTGTGGGTGGAGTCACCCCTGGGCTGCTGGTTCTGTGAGAAAGCTGGCTGAGCAAGTTGTGGGGACCAAGCCAGTAAGCAACACTCATCCACGGCCTCTGCGTCAGCTCCTGCTTCCGGGTTCCTGCCCTATCTGAGTTCCTGTCCTGACTTCCTTCAATGGTGTCCTATGTTGTGAAAACTTAAGCCCTTTCCTCCCCAACTCGCTTTTGGTCACAGTGTTTCATAATAGAAATAGCATCCCTTAAGGAAAATGTGGTACATTTACACAATGGAGTGCTACACAGCAGAAAAAAAATAATGACATCTTGAATTTTGCAGGCAAATGGATGGAGCTAGAAAGCATCATTTTGAGTGAGGTAACCCAGACCCAGAAAGACATTTATCACGTGTACTCACTCATGAGTGGTTTTTAAACATAAAGCAAAGAAAACCAGCCTACAAATCACAATCCCAGAGAACCTAGACAACAATGAAGACACTAACAGAGACTTACATAGATCTAATCTACATGGGAAGTAGAAAAAGACAAGATCTCCTGAGTAAATTGGGAACATGGGGATCTTGGGAGAGGGCTGAAGGGGGAAGGGGAGAGGCAGGGAGGGGAGCAGAAAAAACGTAGAGCTCAATAAATATCAATAAAAAAAAAAGAAATGGCATCCCTAACTAAGACACTTCTGTCTGCCATGATCACTCCCATAAATAAATGTTTAAAAAGAGATAGAAAGAAATAGAGGAAGGTAAGTGGCAGATCTGTAGTGCCCCACCCCACCCCAAACTCAGCCAATGAGGAGGAGGAAGAGGAGCAGCCCTTGGGGTTCTATGACTGTTCTCTTTGCTCAAGGGATGCTCACCACTGTCTCGGGTGGCTCCAAATCTTGCAAGATCATAGAAGAAACTGCCTAGCTTTCCCTGTCATGAGTTTATTGCTCACTCGTATGTGAGGGTCCCCATTCCTCATAAAGGCTAAATCTGCCTGTCCTGGACAGAGTCCCCATTCCTTCGGAGTTGTAGGTGATTTGTCTATAAAGTTGGGGGGTCCCTGTGGTTGATAACATCCAGGAGTCAAGGAAGAGCTTTGTGTAGACCCAGAAGGAATGTCACCAGTCAGGTGACATTGAGTTCCCACGGCCCCCACCCACCAGGTGAGAACTCAAAGAGGAGGTGGCTCCCTCCAGCCACCTGTAGGCAGTTGGGGCTGTCCACCTGTGCATGACTGGAGCTGTCCCCGGCAGGTACGCAGTGTTAGGTACAGAAACTGACCCTCTGTCCAGACACCTCCTTCAGTTTTCTTGAACTCTTTTTCCAGTTCCAGGGTAGTGGGTCTGGACTCCCAGCCGCAGCTGGCTGCTCTGCTTGTCCATGGCGTGTTGGTGCTTTGGCACCTCACGTGCAGCTTGCTTGCTCCTCAGAGGAAGAGACCTATGGCCCCTCTGCTGCTGGCGGGGAGAAGGTACTCACTCACTCCTGCTAAGTCTAAGAGTCTGCCCCTTACCTCAGCCCTCTTCCCCCAACAGGCAGAGCTTGGCAAGCCCCGGGAAAGAAGCTGCAGCTTGCCTGGTATCAACTTCAATTACGGACTCTACATCCGAGGGCTGGATGGCGGGGTCCCTGAAGGTGAGTGTGTGTTCTTGGGAGCACAGAGATTTGAGGGGTGGACGAGGGACTCACACCTCCTTCCCACAAGCCAAGTCAGATAAAGCCGCTTGGCCGGACAGATGGAAAGAGCTGATATCTGTCCTGTGGTAAGATCACAGCCAAAGAGGAGAGTTATGAGGGGGCGGGAGTGAGCGGTAGGAGACCATCAAAGACACCCCCGGAGTGGCTGTCCTCACTCTTCACCATGAAGAAAGCACCGAGCAGTCTTAGGGCCAACCCCTGAGGCCTTAGTGGAAGTCAGAGCCAGCAGGTTGGGTTTGCTGTGATCAAACACTCTGACAACAAAGCTGGGTGGTGGTGGCACCCGCCTTAATCCCAGCACTCCAGAGGCAGAGGCAGAGGCAGAGGCAGGCGGATCTCTGTGAGTTCGAGGCCAACCTGGTCTACAGAGCGAGTTCCAGGACAGTCAAAACTACACAGAGAAACCCTGTCTTGGGAAAAAACTGATGGAGGAAGGTAATTGGTTAATTATAATAAACCAACTGCTTGGCCTCATAGCTTAGAACATAGGTGGGTGGAGAATAAACAGAATAGGATGCTGGGCGGAAGCGGAAGTGAGGTCAGACTCTGCTCTGCTTCCGGAGAGACCCAACAGCTCTGCTCTCTGGAGCAGAGACACCAGGATGGACGGAGGCTAGAATCTTCCCGGTAAGCGCACCTTGGGGTGCTTACACACATCATTAGAAATGGGCTAGTCCAGGTGTGAGAATTAGCCTGTAAGGGCTAGAGTTCATGGGCCAAGCAGTTCTTAAATGAATACAGTTTGTGTGTTGTTATTTCGGGCATAAGCTAGCCAAGCGGCCTGGGTGTTGGGGACGCAGCCCCGCCGCTCTTATTTCAACAAAAAAACAAACAAAAAATAAACTGACAACAAACAGTTTAGGGGAGAGGGGGCTTATTTGGCTAACAGTCCCAGGTTGCTGCAGGGGATCCTATCACTGCAGGGGAGTCAGTGACAGAAGCATAAAGCAGGTGGACATCTTCCATCCTCAGTCAAGAGCAGAGAGAATAAATGTACATCTGCTCACAGGCTTGCCTGTGCTCAGCTTGACTTCTCCACCCTTACACAGTCCAGGACCCTCTGTCTAGAGAATGGTGCCGCCCACAGTGGACTGAGTCTTCCCACGCCAGTCAACTTAGCTAAGACAACCCCCTACAGGCTAACCAACCCATGTAGACAAACTCTCCTTGAAACTAAGTTGACAAAGCTGAGCATCACATGCCCACTTTGGGATCTCTGGGAGACCTGTCCCTTCAGGTGGCTTGCTGGCCAGGGCCAGGCAGCACTGTCCCCGGTGATGGAGGCAATGGGAGCCCCATATCCTCTCCTCCTACTGACACCCACCCTTCTGCTGTCTCCTTGCCTGCAGCTATCGGGCACTGGAACGTGTTTAAGCAGCAACCCACCTGCCCCCACGAGCTGACCCGGAACTATATTGCCATGAACCGTGGGGCTGTCAAAGCTGGCCTGGTGACTGCCCGGGAAAACATGCTCTATCGGGAACTCAATGACATCCGTATCAGTGACCAGGAGGAGCGGCGACAGAAAGAGCCACCCTCTGTCCCTCCCAACGTGACCTTTGGGATCCGTTCACGGTAAGGTCAGGGAGCCCAGCTCCTATCTTCCCTGTGGCTTAGGAGGGTGACAAGACCACCAGGGGACTGGGGGCCAGAAGCAGAACCCTGGAGTGTTAGAAGGCAAGCTGTAGTGGGAAGCAGGAACAGTCACACGCTGGCTGGAGATTTTCTCATTTTTCTCATTCAAGGTTGTTGGTCAGGTGGGAGAACGTGCCTGCAATCACAATACTTTGTAGCAGCAGGATAGAAATTCAGTCTTTTTTGTCTATGTTGACAACAAGTTTGAGGCCAGCCTGGACTACATAAGACCCTGTCTTTAAAAATAAATCTACCAACAGGCTGGAAAGAGGGCTCAGACTGTTAAGTGCCTGCCACAGAAGCATGAGGACTTGAGTCTGGACAGTAACCAGCCAGGAACCTTGCCTCAGTTTCCATACCTGTACAATGGGATCATAGCAGGGCCTGCTGTATCCTTGCTAAGAGGTTTCAAGCTTTAGCTTCATTGAAGACTTTATTATAGGAGCTGAATACAGCGAGTCCTCTGGGCACGTGAGCTGTGTCGGTAGTTAAGATGCTGCAGTTCAAAATGTAACCCAAGAGCGAGGAGATTAGGGGCTGGAAAGATGGCTTAGTAGTGGTTAAGAGCACTCATTGCTTTTGCAGAAGACCTGGGTTCGGTTCCCAGTAACTACATGGGGCTTACAACCATGTGTAACTCCAGTTCCAGGGGACTGGACATCCTTTCTGGTCTCTGTGGGCACTGCACACACATGGTGTACATACATGCACTGCACACACATGGTGTACATACATGCACTGCACACATGGTGTACATACATGCACTGCACACACATGGTGTACATACATGCACTGCACACACATGGCATACATACATGTACTGCACACACATGGTGTACATATATGCATGCAGGCAACACACACATAAAATCAAAATAAGTCTTTGTGGTTTGACTATTCTGTGGTAAACTGTATTATCAGTGTTTGGCTTGTGAGATAAAAAAATATCCTGTCACAAACCATCAGACCAATGTAGAAAATCTAGCCTGTATCCAGACGCATGGGTTACCCTGAGAAGTGAGTTCTCTGGTTCTGTGATCACACAGACCACATGGGTCACTGCTGTTGTCTGTGCCATGGTCTCTACAGCAAAGGTCATTCACTTGAGACCAAGAGAACGCACACTTCCCACGGCCCCAGCCCTGCTGGCTGCTCACCGATTCTAGGGCTGGCCCTCCCTCGTTCTGTGGGCTCACGCTGGCCTCCATCAGTCTCCATAGTTTATTTCCTACGTCAGCCCATCTCACCCCGACTCCAGGAAGGGAACCCGATTCCTCTGCCCCCAGCAGCTGACTATGCACTCCAGTCCTGTCGTGTTTGTCAGTTGCTGATGGTTGGCAAGAATCTCGTTGTTCCCTCACGTGTTTATGGTGGTAAAATCACGCCATACCAGACCTATCATGGGCACATTCCTGTCCCTGTCGGCCACCGCCCCACCAATTGTTCATCTTCCCAAACTGAAACCACCCCCCAAAGACCTCCAGCTCCTCTGCTAGGCCTCAGACGCCATCTGATGACTTTCTTAGTCTTTGGGTTGTTGGAAGAGGGGTTCTGTGTGTGCCTTTCAAAATGATGTTAGCCCTGACACTGGTGGGCAATGAAGGGCTAAAGGGGGCTGCAGATCGCCCAAGATAGCCCTGCTCCGGGCCTGCAACATTGCAGCTCTGCAGTCTCTAAGGTCAGTCAGTCAGCCTTATGGAATGTTGGGTTCCGGTGCAGCTTTTCTGGGAACTCCAGTTCATGCCATCTTGCCAGGAAAAGCGTTCGCATTCTTCAGAGTCCGGTCCAGTAGCCCCTTTTCACTGGGGCACCCGCCTTCCCCTAGAAGTGCATTCCTGTGCATACTGCCCTGAAGACCTGGGCTGGGGTAGTGCTGAGACCCGTGGGAAAGTTGGACTGGTCCCCTGGGTTCTGGAGCGCAGCAACCCAGCCTCACAAAGGTGCCCTCCTCACCTGGTCCCTGCGGACTGTAGAGTCAGCACGCTAGCCCATCCTGGAGTCCTCGAGACAATCAGGGGAGGAGTCTTAAATCTAGAGTCAGCCTCGGGTACCAGTTCTGTCTCTGTTCCCAAAGGAACACTGGACAAGGAGCCTGACAGTGTGGTTCAGCTCAGCCCAGTGAGCTCTCTTTACCTCTCTGAACTTCTTCCTACTTTCTCTTGTTTTATATATGGGCTTCTAGTATGTGGTGGCTGTGTCCTGGGTTTTGACAGTCTTTTTCACTTGGGAATTGTTTCTTCCTCCTGTGTAATAGGGAGTCATACCACTAACCTCATTTTCTCTCCCCAGTTTTCTATAAGCCTTCATTAGACATCCATTTGAGACTAGTAAGGGTCCTATCTACCCACATGAGGCCAGGAGGGGTTAACTGACCCCTCCCCAAATTCATGCAAGTAAGAGCTTGGCCCAGATTCTTAAGTAGGCTTCTATTTTGAAACATTTAAAATTAGAACATACATTAGCAATCATTTGACTGGGAGCTTTTATTGAAAACAGAAGAAGTAGAGAGTTCAGAGAGGTGAGGAGAGCACCCCAAGGTCACACAGCATTGCTGCTGGTGGAACCAGGCCTATAGTCGGGTGGCAGGCTCCTTGTCTGAGGCTCCTCCCTAGGGTACCCCCTCTTTCTAATGTAGATAAGGCACAGACACCCAGAACTTCTGGTCCCTGGGGGCTTTGGCTTTCCATCCTTCAAGTCAGCTGGGCTCAAGAACATCATGCATTATCATCAGCTCCCAATATAAAAGTCTTAAATTGCTATAAAACGGAGTGGCCGCAATTCCAGGGCAAGGACGTGATGAAGTGCCGGCTGCATCTCCGGCGATGGCAAATGAGCTTTGCATATGCAAATTGAATGGATTTTAAAATGGTATTTAATGACAATTTCGCCGTCGACATTAACATTAATTGCAGAGAAATGAAAATGTAGCATTAGGTTGCTGTTAGCCGTGAGTACCCGGCCATAAAGCTCCATCTTTATCAGGGAGGCCTTTCCCATGTGACAGGGCCACTCCACAGACTGCAGACAGAGAGCTTTTATGGATCAGAAATATCCCCCAGCCGGCCTGATCAGCATCAATTTCGCTTTATTTCTTTGTAAATGGAGGTTAAATGGCCTTGGGAAGGGCTTGGAGCCGTGTAGGCTGTGTGCTGAGCCCCTCACCCTTCTGACTTAAATGCCTGGAACTGTTAAAAACCCATCGCCCCACCCCGTAATGGGGCTATTACTTTAAAGTTATGGGTTCAAGGCCCACTCCCTGGTGATCACCTTTAACAAGCCTCCGCTGTATTTATTTCTTTACTTTAAAAGCAATGTTGAAAACCAAATTGGATTACACTCAACGGCGCAAGAATTGCTGGAGTGATTTGGTCCAATAAATAAATAATGAATTAAATGAGCAGCACCTGCCTTCCTCTGAGATGGAGATGGCGTCTCAGACAGACCGGATCCACACAAGCCAAGCGGGAAACAGGGTGCCAAGCCTTGGCAACCGCAAGAAATCCTGGAGAGTGCAAAGGCTGAATGCCAGCCCCACCCTTCATGTTTCCCACAGGTGTACCCCTCTTTGCCAGACACCCCTCAGTTTCTTTCTTGGTGGTAAGATTCCTATTCCTAAGTAGGAGAAGTGCCTTGCAACCACCAGTTTTGGAGTCCCCGCCCCCGAAAGCAAAGCTCTGAGCAGGCATCTGGAAGCCAGGGCCTTACGACCCATGGGGCAGGGGACGGGGCAGAAGGGTTCCCTTATCTCATGTAATGAGGAGAGAGGGCTGAAGAGATGGCGCAGGAATTGCCAGGCAAAAGTGAAGAGCTGGATTTGTACCTAGAACCACGTAAGACGGACTAGCATTATACCTGCGGCACCCCCACACGGATGTGTGGATACCGACGTGCTCCAAGGCATGCTAGCCCGGTGCAAGTTGTGGCAAACGAGAGAATCCATCTCAAACAAGGTGGAAGGCAACAACCAACACCTCAGGGTGTCTCCTGAATGCTACATCCGTGCCATGGCATTTCAGTGTGCACACACAGCACACATATCACACGCACAGCACGCGCAGCACACACATACATCACACACACATGTACACTCACATCACACACAACACACATACACACAGCACACAGACATCATACGCATATCACACACACATCACACACAAGTCACGCACACACGTCACACACATGTCACACACGTCACACATGTCACACACACAGTTTTAGAAGATTGAATGGGTTGCTTCATTATAAAGAAAGAAGGCGGAACTGCACATGAGGACTGGACTTCTGCACTTCTAGACAAATCAGAAGCCTGGGCAGTGGGGTCTCACTGTGCTTTGGGCAGAACCCATGCCCTCCAGGTATGCTGTCCTTGCTGCCCTGGTGTCTCTCAGGTCTATCTTATGTGTCTTGTTCTGGCATCACAGCTTGGACCTGATGGCGAAGACTGATAGTTGCTTTATTATTATCACATGTGTCCCAGGCTGGTCTAGAACTTGCTAAGAAGCCAAGGCTGGCTCTGAACTTCTGATCCTCCTGCCTCCCTCGCTCCCCGGGTACAGACACCACAGCTGTCCCACCACATCTATTCTTGATCTCTTAGCTCACTGTGGTCCTTTCTAGTCCTTTGAAGCAACAGTGCTGTCCTGACCATTTAGACATCAAGGGGCTTTTGCATACATAAAACCAACTACTGCCATTTTCCTCTGCGGCAGGGTCAGCCTGTACACCCCATGGCCTTGAGAAGGAGGGTCAGGCCTTATCTCAAAGAGGAAGGCGAGGGGTGTAGGGTTTGTGTAGGGTCTGGCCCCAGCTGGGAAGGCTTCATCTCTGCGGTCAGACAGCCAGGAGACACTGGGAATTCTCTAGCTCCGCTTCACTGTCCTTTGCCAGAATTCCAGTCAGATGGGATTGTCAGGCCTCATCACCAGTACAGAAGGCCA